GAGAAGGCCGGAAAATTAGTCCATTTTGGGGGGTCGATGAAAAATCCGTCGCGCCCGCTAAGGGCCGCAAAGGCTGACACATCATCTTCAGGAACCCTGAAAAGTGCATAAATTTTGTGACCCTCGCCCTGACCCTGCTCTATTGCCCATCCCCAAATGTCCTGGACCTTCATGTGCTGTTGCGCAATCCAATGGTGGAAAGCACGCTGAGGGCTAGCAAGAATGTCCTTCCACGCAGCCTTGGAAACGTACTTCTTATACACCCGAACATACGTCACTGCAGTTTTGGATGCAACAACCTTTGGGGCCTTGGTGGCCGTAACCTTGGGGCACGGGAGTTCGACACCAGCTGAGCTGATGTGATGAAAGTGCACCTGTTCACCTGTTTGAAGACACAGGAATTCCCAACAGCCCCCGGGCATCGAGCAGAGGCCTCAGGATGGTCACGGGTGACCGCAATGACCCCGTGGGGCTTCTTGGATCCAAGCAGGACGGTGGCAAGAAGATCAGCCTGCCCTGGACCACAGAGCACAACAGCCTTGAAGACACCACTGGCCTTTTCAATTGCAGTCGCAACATCGTCAAAGTGAGCGCCGACCAGTCGGCAGCACGGAGCTGCCACGGCACTTGCTGTTTCTGTCGGCAAACAGTGGTCCAGTGCTCACCCTGACTGCTAGTGGCGGTCGCGGCGGGCTTGGTTTCGGAACTCTTCAGTTCTTTGCCTTTGCCCTTGTGACCACCTCCTTGCCCCCTACCTTTCCCGGCAGCCCCTTGCGGCGACGACACTTGTTGCCCTTTCTTGCCCCCCTTGCCTTGACCTTTTGCGCCCTTGGGCGCTTCAGCTGGTGGGGCACTAGGCTCATCTTGCGTGGCTGGTCCTCGAGGACCTGCATCAGAGGCTTCGCCCATTCGAACCCCCAGCATGGGCGAGGAGCTGCGGTGCAGGCCTGGGACACAAAGTGCAGGCAACTTGCAGGCCAGCCCGAGAACAAAGCCACAGCATCTTTTCCGAGGCAAGTCGCACTATGAATGATCCATCTAGGGCCGGGGGGCGTTAACCCTACCTGCAAATGGAGCTAAAATAATAATCGGTTTAAACCGTTTTGAGTCGAACAGTATTCGTTTCATAAGGGTTCAAACCGTTCATTCAAAAGCTTTACGTTTCATAGTTTGCCTGCCTCCGA